GCAGCAAACAACTTTCGATGTTTTAACACTATCGCTGTACAGGGAGCGTACAGCAGCAGACGGTCAAGGCTCCTCGTGGCTACGCTTGCTTGCTACTACTGCTGTGCGTGTTTTTTTTAAGGAGGATTCTTAAGAAACGTCAGGCGGTCCGTTCGGATTTCTCCGAAAGCCAGTCGGCATATTCCAACAAACCGAAAAATCGTTAAGAATCCTCCTAATGTGCAGGTTTGAATCTCTAGTCCAAAATAATCTACTGTAGACTAAAGATAACCTCACGGAGATCTGCCACGCATCAACCAACAACTACCAACATCCAGATTTTGGTAGCGGGGCCAGCTCAGCGGGGCAGCGGCTCAGATTGTTGCATTGTTGCACCCTCGGTGTTAATCGCAATGTACAGCAGTAGTTCTCGCTAGGTTCGCTGTTGGACCTGACCTAGCTTGAAAACGGCCGGAAGTTTGAATGTTGGTCCATATTTATTTATTTATCGCTCGAAGCAGCCAGGACTCGCGCCAGGCGAAGACATTGATGGCAAATTGATGGCGATAGGTTACGTGCCGCGAGGAGGGGAGGAGGGTTAGGAGGCCTCGCCGTGAAACTTCATCTCTTCTCGCCCTCTCGAGTGCAGCCACAACAGACAGACCAGAACGACGCGCGCGCTCCGCCCAGCAGCACCCCAGCTGAGCACCACAGAAGCAGAACCAGAATAATAACCCTCCCGAACCAAGCACCCCCGTGAAGATCCCTTCGAAAAATTGGTGATACGACCTCTGTGGAGCAATCACTGCGAGATCTGCTTGTTGTCTGTGCCCGAATGCTGCATACCGTACAAGGGCATAAGACAAGGGGGGCGACTATTTGCAATCCATGAATTGTAAAAGAGAACCACAGTCCAAACATCCAGACGGGTCGAAACCCCGGGAAATCGCCCAGAGCGTCCCCGAAGAGGTTCTCACCCTCTCTCAAATTCAAAATTATCTCGGAGCCTGGATCTAACGCCCGTAGTCCTCGGAAGAGCTCTCGCCTGCAGCAACGGCCCCAACAGGCCATACTGCCATACTGGCACATATCACGCCAAGGCCACCCTTCACACCCGGGATGCCCAGGAGACGCTAGGCCTCAGCCGAGCAAGAGGACACGACCACACACAACGCCCCGCACTTAAAGAGTGCTCGTCTCTCTCTGTGTGTCTATCTATCCGCGTGTGGTGGTGGTGGTGCTGCTGGTGTCGTTCGTGTGCTGCTGCTGCTGCTGTTGTTGTGCTGTGCTGCTGCTGCAAGCAATTGTTGCTGCAGATTTTGTGAACTACATACATACAGCAGTATCTTTGGTAGATATAACCTGCTGCACGATGCTGCCGTCCGGGATGTCAGTCATCATGGGGCCGTCAAAATCTGTAGGCATCGTTTAGTTCGCACACCGCAGGCCCGCTCAACAAACTCGAGACGCGGCTCACACGGTTTTCTTCGCAGAGCACACAGGTCGACAAGCACAGGTAGACGCAGAAAAAAAAAACAGAAAAAACAGAAAAAACAACATACAAGAGCGATTTGATGATAGACTGACCCGCACCAACAAAAGATAGGACCTGGAGATGACCCCAACACGGCAAAAAAGGGGGCGGACGAAGAAAGAAAGAAAAGGAAAGGAAATGGAACAAAAGAAATTTAAACAGGACAGGAACCAGATGGCCCCATCGAACGCTACACCGCAACAACCAAATAGACATACAAACACCAAAACGACAACATCACAGACGGCGATCGGCGCAAAAAAGCGGAAGCGAAAAATAAACAACACATCGAGTCTTGACCTGCCGCCGGGGGGGGACAAAACATCGTTCAGGCATATGCCCCGGTGACGTCGTAAACCTAGGGCCGCGTACCGCTACTCACGTACCCCGAGTATGCAACACCGAAACTAGAGTTGGGACTCAGAAGTCGCGGCTCTCTTGCTACCCCCTCTTGTGTATCTTTCTACAGCGCCAGGTCGTCTTTTATTACTTGTCCTAGCGGGCAGGCGAAGAGTCCCAGGGTTGGCCATGAAGAGAGCCGCCCCCCGCCCTCCCGTCGTTGTAGTTCCTACCCCGCCTGCTTGCATATTGACCATCGTCAGAAATTGGTCCACGAGGGCTACGGCGACTGTCGGTGAAAAGCGATCAGACAAAATACTCGCGGCTTGCCCGAGCTTCTTCGTTACGTCGGCGTACAACACTTTTCTATCCTGGTACGTGGGCCCCTTCTCCTTCAAGTCCAACAGGACCGTCTGCACCGTCTGGCTGCTCCCAACGAAAGACTTCCACCTCCCGCCGCATCCCCCCACCCCCTCTCCCTCTCCCTCTCCCGCCGCCCCGTCCACTTCTCCCGCAGCGTGGCGGTTGGATANGGATACCACCCATCGAGGGCGGGCGACATCCGGCCAGTCCTGCTGCGGTGTTCCCCTCGCCTTTTCCGTCAGCCAGTGCTCGTGCAGGAGGCCTACGTGGAATCTGAATCGGGGGCTGTGCATGATCGCCGCCCACACGTGGCGACAAAATAGGCCGAGAGTTTGGACNCTCGCCTTTTCCGTCAGCCAGTGCTCGTGCAGGAGGCCTACGTGGAATCTGAATCGGGGGCTGTGCATCATCGCCGCCCACACGTGGCGACAAAATAGCCCGAGAGTTTGGAGTGTGCGGCACTGGCAGAGATGGCTACCGTCGGAAAAGAGCAAGACGAGGTAGTCGAAGGCCTTGCCATCACGCTGCTCGTGAATCCCAAAGACGTTGATGACGTCGCAAAGCTTGCCCTCGATGTACTCGAGCGTGCGCCCCAAAGCTGCCGCGCGTTCTGGTCCATCCACCTCCCCACCACCCATCTGGCAAAACATGATGGCCGCGGTCATCTCTTGCTCCATGAACCGCCGCGGCCAGCTCGCGATGGAGAACTCGCAGGACTCGAGCACACTTTTGAAAGCGGTCGCTGGTGGAGCCACCATCCGATTAGGCGGCAGATGGTCGATGGCGTCTCGCAGCATGGCGGCATCCTTCTGGGAACAGATGATGCCCGAAAAGTACTTCGCCACGTCCAAAAGCGAGGAGCGCGAGTTGCACTTATCCTTGATGAGGGCGTTTTGGCCTGTTGTGTGTGCGGCGGACCAACACGCAACAAGCGACACACAAACCAAACCGTGGGTTAGTGATTGGTGTCATCAGACATCGTCGAAGTCGCAGTACGCCAAACGACTGAAAGAGAAGCCTATGACTTGACGCACCCATCGTCACAGATGTATGTACAAGTGAGCCGGACGATCGCAGTGCACCGACCAAGTACATCAATCCCGAACAACAGGGGCCGGACAACAGCCACATGTTTCGAAGAGGTCGTACACACCAGCGGCATGTAGGGAGTTGCTTACTGGTCATTTACTGACGGCGTACGATAAATTCGTCAAGATGCACTTACCAATGGCATAGTAAATAGGGGGCAAGGAAGATAGCCGCCCCCAACCCCTACAGACGTTGAAAAACTCCCGAAAACAACGACAACGCTACATGCGCTGTCGTTCTCCAACAAAACGCTCATGACAGATGATGCATAAACGCACCTTCAACTCTTGATGTCGTCCACGAACCCACGGAGAACACCAGGGGCGATACATATTCCGCCCACCGTGCGCGGTCGTCATATACCACTCGCATGTACTACTCCGCCTTCGGGTACNTCGTCCACGAACCCACGGAGAACACCAGGGGCGACACATATTCCGCCCACCGTGCGCGGTCGTCATATACCACTCGCATGTACTTCTCCGCCTTCGGGTACTTTTCGATGAGGGCGTTGAACTTCCGTTCGAACTTCGCCAATGACAGCTGCTGACGCACACACCTGAACTCGTCCATGAAAGGCTGCGGAAAACACAAACGACGTAGGCCGGGTGGGTGTTGCGTGAGTTGGGGCCTCGGCAATGAGCTACCGGTCTGTGCGATTGAATGCCACTAACAACCCCGTACACTTCGTTAGCGCTAAGGCGAGGCGAGGAGAGGGTTGGAAAAACTCAGCGACAAACCATTGGTGCTTACAACCTGCTGCTGCTGCTGCTGCTTTTTCTGTGTGCACTGGACGTCGTGAGGTATGTTTCCGTCGAAGCCGAGGTCGTCTCCGCATCACGGTCTACGCAGAGACGCTGGATATCACTCTTCCAAGTAGACGACAACGCCACTGATGCATGACAACGCACCAACTCGCACAGGGGATACAAGCGGGAGAGGGGGAGGGGGGCTAGAGTGGGCAGCGTACGTCGCGCGACCAGGACAATACGAGAGGCCAGACTAACCACGCCAACACACACAGTAGAGCGCACCTTCATGTCCCCACCAAGGACTTTAGCGAGGGCCTTGATGATGTTCTGGTTGAGGTACCATAAACAGCGCCTCGCCAGCGCGTCCGGGAATACCTCTCGCACCGCCGCCGTCATCGCCGCATCCGCGTCCTGGATGAAGATATCCGGCTGCTTTCCCCCGCGGGACTCCAACGCACTCTTCAACATCGACAGGAAAGTGTCCGTTGTGGTGTCCGCCGTTATGATTTGGCCGACGATCCGCGTCCGATACTCCGAATCGATGACAGCGAGCACACCGAGGGGCATCCGGTATCTGTTCTTGACGGCGGTGTCGTCGTAGAGCGCAACGTGACCGTACCGATTCCAAAGCGCCACCTGCTTATTCGGAGCATGACGTCGAAGGGGGTCGAAAGCACTTAATTGTAGGTGTGACGTGTGTTGGACGCGTCACAACGCACCCTCACCCTTGCCTACGGCCTGCTTTCGGTCAGACGTCCTACATTTGCGGACGGCCAAGCTGTACGTGCGAGATGCTAAAATGAAAGCACACCTTCCGGCTGGGGAATATTCGTATGGGGCACAACGACCGGCGGCCTACCTGCTNTTCCCCCCGCGAGACTCCAACGCACTCTTCAACATCCACAGGAAAGTGTCCGTTGTGGTGTCCGCCGTTATGCTTTGGCCGACGATCCGCGTCCGATACTCCGAATCGATGACAGCGAGCACACCGAGGGGCATTCGGTATCTGTTCTTGACGGCGGTGACGTCGTAGAGCGCAACGTGACCGTACCGATTCCAAAGCGCCACCTGGGTGTTCGGAACACTTCATTGTGGGTGTGACGTGTGTTGGACGCGTCACAACGCACCCCCACCCTTGCCTTCGGCCTGCTTTCGGTCAGACGTCCTACATTTGCGGACGGCAAAGCGGTACGTGCGAGATGCTAAATGAAAGCAAACCTTCCGGCTGGGGAATATTCGTATGGGGCACAACGACCGGCGACCTACCTGCTCTCTCGTTTGCCACCAGATATGCGTCAGGCGGCCGCTGTCATCCATCTTGATCTCGCACAGTCCGCCGTCGGCCGTCGCGGCCATGACCTGAAATTGCAACATGTTAAGCGCCCGGAAACATCGAGGGCATCAGCGCAAATCCACGACGACGGCACGGCACACATTTTTTACCGCCAACATTTCTTGGTTTGGTGTCATGGGGCATATATTCTCCCGGTTGTCACCTGCGATCGTGTGTATCTCGCGCCCGGTTACCGCCTTGAGCAAAACCCAACATCCCACACACAAACAAGAGAGGCAACACTCTCAACGGACACATGGACACACCTCTTCGTACGCATCGGCGGCATCTCTCGGCTTCTCCGCCCCGTGCACAGTGGCAGCCGCGTTCTGCACCGCGCGCTTGTTGATGTCGATGTCGCTGTCCTCGTGCAACACCTTCATTGCTTTTGTCACCTCTTTTGGCTTCATCCCATGACCTGCGCCGTATGGGAGAGCCGGGAGCACAAAAATAAGTGGCGTGTCACGGACAAACAGGGCAACAAGGTGGAGGCGACAGCAGTACCACGCTTCAAGGGCCGTTCGTCATGCGGCATCATGACTACCAACCATGACAAACCGTGGGATACGACGGGAGCTACTGTACACCTACTCCAATGCGTTCAATCTTCTCACTTGTCATCTGCTGCACTTGTCCCAGCTGCTCCTCCGTTAGTTTTGATGCGAGGCGAAGCTTGACGTCGATGGCCTTGCGGTCGACGCTGTGGTTGTGCGTGAGCTTCATGTTGCTAATCCTGGGCCACCTGTGGGACTTCGCGTGCCGGACGCTAACCTGAAATAACGGAACGGTGGGTCCACAATAAGGATAGAAGAGTAAAAATTAAACGATGGATACGTGGGATATGTGTGTGTGTAATGGATCACAACATGGATCATGGATCACAACACACCCGACCGACCCCTCCCCGATTTCAAATACGCAGTTCGGACATCTTTTTCAATCTCATGCTCAAAGACCTCAAGACACCTATTGGGCCCTTTCTCCGTCCACTGCACCAAGACATGTTCCGCGGGAGACCAGCTACGTGCCTCAAACGGACAATCAGTCCTCGCGCTTCTCTTTACGTTCCGCCGTTGTACCCCAGGTGCTGCAACACGCAACGACATGGGAGACGGAGTATAGGCGGTGTGTCATCGGCGGTGCGTCATGCATTCACCTGCACCGAAGCATGCATGCAAACAACAGGCTTGCGCGCGACTCGCCCCGTATTCGTCGCCTCAACCATGCTCCTAGTATGCCCAAGTGCCACGGATGAAACGCTCACCAGTGTCTAGACTGGCTTCGTACTCCAGTTGCCGGCTCTTCCCGCCACGGGTACAAATCAGCTTCTTCATGTCCACACGATCCGTTGCGCCGTCGCGACACCTCGTCGACTTCGCGGTAGAAAGGATCGCCCCTTCACCGACGCACAACCTCACCACCTCCTCCTCCACGTCTTCAAGCGTCTTTCCTTCGTCTGCACTGCCTCCAGCTTCGCCTTTAACACAGCCGGAACGTACACCTAGTGTTCAAACCGCAATACGACGGGTTACATAGCGGCACGTGCTTCGGGGTGTGGACGATTCTACAGCACAGTGGGATGTTAGAGCATCGAGCACAAAAATACCCGAACTGGATTACTGTACTACAGCACCGAGCAGGCGAATGCAGCGGGCAAGTCACACAGAATGAACATTATTGTAGGTACACCCAGACCAACACATGCATGGCCCATACCATCGCAGCCTCCCCGTCGTGCATGAGGGTGCAACACTACGGGTATTGTCACCTGCGTTTCCGGCGGAGGGCTGGTGGTCAATGTCTGCTGCTGTTGTTGCTGTGCGGGGTGGGCTTGTGCAGGGTAGCCCGCAAAACCTCCGGCGGCCCCAGCATCGGGAGCACCCACAGGGGCCGGAGTTCCCAACGGCAGACCAGTGCGAGGTGAAAACATGGCCTGCAACCGCACGCGAAACCCACCACGCGGCGGAAGGGAAGGACACTATGTCAAAGTTTGATCACAAGACAAGACAAATGACACGTTTCGCCGTCCACCGCTGAGTACACGAAAACAGCGAACCGTACGTGCACGCGTTCAAAGGCACGAGGTACAGCACAGGGACAATCCATTGGCGTGCTACACCCACGGAACAAACATTGCCGGTGTGACGACAAACTGCACTTGTCAAACATCAACCCGTCTCGCCTGCGTTTCCGGCGGAGGGCTGGTGGTCAATATCTGCTGCTGTTGTTGCTGTACGGGCTGGGCTTGTGCAGGGTAGCCCGCAAAAGCTCCCGCAGCGCCAGCATCACGAGCACCGTAAGAGGCCGGCAGAGCAGCACTGGATGGAAGCAATCCTAGCACTGACCACACCAGTGCAGGCACATGATCACCAACGTACGTACGACGGCAACAACAGGTACAGAGCAGCATCGACAGCGTGGTACAGCATGAGGGAGGCTGCAACACAAAGAGACGGACTAACACACACATGGCGCTGGCGCGGGCGCGGCGGTTCCTATTTTATTCCTGGAAAAAACATCACAAGAGAGGGTGAGGGTGAGGCACAGACAAAGAGGATGCACGGACGGCTGTCGGGACGGGATCTCACCAGTTATCGTTGTGTGTCGTCTCCTCGTCTTCCCCCAGCGTGCGGGTGCGTGTCGCCGCCTTCAGACTGCTCCGCCGCCGTGATTATGTGATTGCAGCTGCTTTCATGGGCCTGCTTTTGTATTAGAGGGAGGAGAACCTCTTCGGGGACGCTCTGGGCGGCTTGCCGGAGTTTCGACCCGTCTGGATGTTTGGGCTATGGTTCTCTTTTACAATCCATGGATTCCAAATAGTCGCCCCCCTTGGGTTTCGACCCGTTTGGATGTTTGGACTGTGGTTCACGTTTACAATCCATGGGTTGCAAATAGTCGCCCCCCAAGACATGCACCCTCCCCTTGGCCTGCTCCGCGGCCGGGGCCGAAATCGACCTAGTGAGTCCCTCACGGGCGAACCAGGCCACAACAGATAGTAGGCGGGTGGTGTCCCAAGGTGCAACTCACCGCCGCGCTGGCTCAGCGTGGCGGTGAGGATGCACAGACGGTGGTAGTGGCGACAGGTGTGTATGGACACTGTCCCCGCGGCAGTAATGCAAAGCGGCAAACTGCACCTGGCAACCACCGTCGCGGAAAGCGTGGCCCACGAAGCTGGAGGAGTAGAGAGATTCGTAAACACCACGTCAGTAAGCACCGCTCGCGGGAGAAGGGAGACAACCGCGGGCACCGCGGGGAGGGAGTGCTGCACCCTCCTCGTCAAAACACCACAGGCAAGAACCGAGCTCTGCAGAGATGGATTGATGCGAGGAAACTCGCCGCTCGGAAAATACGGAAGAAAGCACACCCGCAACGCGAGGTGGACCGAGAGAGACACGAGACCGCAGCGGCCGTCAAGGCGGCTGGGAAGAAGAAGGCACGAGAGGGCGACCTATCGTTCGGCACGTTCAACGTACGCACGCTCGCCTACAGCGGTAGGAACCCCATCGGTCACAACGTGATGACGGTCGTGCAGATTTGTTCGGCGACCGGCTGTGACGTGATAGGACTTCAGGAGACCCGACGAGAGGGGTAAGATTCAATTGCACACGACGGGTACGTGATCAT